TAACTGGAGGCATGAAGCCTTGGTTCGACAGCTGTGCCCGAAGCGTTAGATCCCACCAAGTAATACTGTGATGCCGGTGAATTCCCACAGGCATGATTATTCACTGCTGATCAAGTGTTTCATTAAATAATTTGCGCATGCTTGCAAAAAATGTGGTGCGGTCTACTACTCCTGATTTGAACGTTCCTTTATGGCGGTTAGAACAACCTGCACCCTTCAATCTTTTTCTGGTATCCAAGATGGAGCGCAGTTCCAGCTCAAGGAGTTTCTCCGCCCGCTATAAATTGTTCTAACGCATAACCAGATCAGCGTGATGTGAATTAAGGCACCGAGGCATGTCCGGCCTTCCTCATTCCCCCTCAGCTGGTTTGTCTACATATAACTGGATTCTTTTTCATCTAAACCGCAACATTTCGTGATTTTATTCTGCCCAGTATTTTCTAGAAATTTGCCAAAAAAAATGAAAATTAAAGCAAAATTTTTGTTTGTGAATTCCTTTAAACGTGTATTTTTAAAATCCCTTTAACTTTGCACAAGTTTTTTAAAAATTGCTTTACGTAAGCACGCTACAGTCTAAAGACATCACAGCGAAACTCTTGGTCCGGGGGTTTTTCCAATGTCAAACTTGTGATATTCAGGATATTTTGGTACTTTCCATGCGATGAGTACCAAAGAAGTTTTGCGAAGGGTAAGGATAAGTTTTCCAGCGCTTATAGCGAAAATCATGTTCTTGTCTTTGAAAGCATTAAAAACTACTTTCTCGTCACTGATTTACATTTCCAGTTTTCAGGATGGTCACAATGCCAGTTTGAATTTGAGTAAGGTAGCGGGGATATTTTACATTTTGATGGGCGGTATGATTGCTTCAATGCTTGCCGCTCTTGGCGAGTTTCTTTACCGCTCACGTATTGAAGCTCGCAAAGGCAATGTTACGTCCCTGCTCGGGAGTCTCGCTGTAAGTCCCATTTACGTTGCAACATATTTAGAAATATTATTTTCTTGTTCCCTTTTGTCTGTGAAGGGTCTAGTGTTAACAGAGGCAAAAATCGCAATAGTGAAACGGTAATTGGTCAAAGTATCAAATTAAAGTCCAATGCTGCAACGCCAAAAGCACAGATTTTCAATTTTCTTTGCAAGAATTGTTCTACAGGACAAATTTATCATACTTCAAGTGATACAGTGGTGACGAAAAGTTTGCCTTTGTGCGCGAGATGTTGTTTGCCTGTCTGAAAAGAATTTCATAAAGTTTGATGAATGCAGTCCAGACTGCTGTTCTTGCAAATCCTATTCTAAACATTTTAGAAGAACCTTCGTGGCACGTTATTTTCACAGCCGGCTAAAACTTCTCAGGCGGAAGAGTTGAAAAGCGAAGGGACGCCTGTCTTCGACATTCTTAAAAAACAAGATGTATGTTTTGTTTTTCATGCCGTCATTACTGGTTCTGTGTCGGATGACTATGCCATGAATGCTAGGCCAATTTTGTGCTAAAAAATTAGAACACAATGGGTCTTTATCACACAACTAACTGAAGTGAAATAAGTCATCAGTTACCGTAATTTTCGTCAAATGTATTACATAATACGAGCAATATAAGTAATATGCGATTACAAAAAATCTTGAAAATCTAAAATTGTTGGATGAGGAAATCACAAACGTAACTTAAACAATAGATTTACGAAGGCTGTTATACCCGGAATACCTCAAAAGTTAATTTTTAGTCTGATTCTCCTCCAACTCTACAGTTTAAACCTTTCCAGCTGCTTTATCCAATGCTGCATCGCCTGATGGTCAGTCTGCTGGCAGTCCTGACGCTTGTTTCCTCTTATGGTGGGGATACTAGTTAAGGATTCACCCGAGAGAAGTAACTGGATTACTATAATTGAACAAAGTCTATAAGTGATAGGGGTCCTAAGCATAACAATGAACATTGCCGGCTGAATAAATGATCAGTTTAATAATTCATCTACTCATCACAGAGTTATCTAACAGTTTTGATTTTCATACCCTTTTGCTGTGTCGTATGCCTTGTTAGGATCAGCGATAATGAACTAATCAAATATCATATGTGCGAATTGGAATACTGAGGAGCACTCTGTGTTTCACCTCTAAGCTGCAACTCAAAGCGGAAATTTATAAATTAGAAATGAAGTTAAGCCAGCCTTGGACCCAAATTGTCACCTA